GTTGGTTGCTTAAAAACATAAACAAACAGCTATAGAATTTAGCATATAGAAGAAAAAGAATTAAATATAAAACAGAAATGATGAGACGTTACAATTAAAATCATAAAAGTAATAAAGGATGACCAGAAAGTTCTGTGAACAAGTATATAGCAACAAATTGGTTAATCTAGTAAAATTGGTAAAATTCTAGAAACACGCAATCTACAAAGATTAAATCATGAAGCAATAGTCTAAACATAACTATCTCTAGAAAGGAGACTAAATCAATAATCAAAATATTCTGATAAAGAAAATACCAAGAGGAGATAATTTCACTGAGAAACTTTACTAAACATTTAAAAGAGAATTAATTCTTCATAATTCAAAAAAATATTGAAGAGTACAGTACAATTCTATACTCACTTTATGAGTCAAACATTGCCCTGATAACCAACTCAGAAAAAGACAGCCCAAGAAAAGAAAACCTCAGGCCAATAACACTGCTAGACATAGATGTAAACATCATTAACAAATTCTGAGCACACTGAATCAAAGAACACATTAAAAGAAAAATACCATGACTGGTGAGATTTATTCCTGGTATACAAACATGGTTCCAGGTGTACAAATCAATAAAAGAAACACATGTACAGTATAAAAGAAAAAAATTACATGATGGTATTAGTAGGTGCAGAAAAAGCACTTGACAAAATGTAATACCCATTCATAATAAAAACTCTCAATAATTCTGATATAGAAGCAACTTAGCTCCACATAATCAATGTCATATTAGATAAAATGACTTCTAATATCATACTCTATGGTGAAAAACTAAAAGCTTTTTTTCTAAGATCAAGAATAAGACAAGGGTAACCATTCTTACCATTTCTATTTGTCAAATCCTGAAAGTTCTATTTGAATAATTAAGCACAGAAAACAATGGTATCCAAATTAGAAAGGAAGAGAAAAAAATGATCTTTGTCTACAGATGACATGATGAGATATATAGGCAACCCTAAAGACTCCAAAACACACACACACACAACTGTTGTAGCTAATATACGAGGTAGGATAAAAAAAAATCATCAAAAAATCATACAAAAATAAATTGTATTCCACATATTAACACTGCACTATCCAAAAAGAAAATAATCACACAATAACATTTAAAAAGAATAAGAATTAAGCTTAAGTAATGAGATGAAATATTTGTACACTGAAAACTAAAATGCATTGATAAAAACATTAATAAAAAATTAATAAAGACAAACAAATGGGAAAACATCCTGTGTTCATGAATTAATATAGCTAAAATGTCAATAGAACCTTAAGTGATCTACAGAGTTAATGCAATCCCTATCAATGCAATTCCAATGGCACTTATTATAGAAATAAAAGAAGATCCTAATATTAATTGAAAACACAAAAGACCCTGAGTAACAACAACAGCAACAACAACAACAACAACAACAACAAAATTTTTCAAGAAAGAACAAAACTGGAAGCATCCACACTTTCTGACTTCAAATATATTATACAGCAACAGTAATTAAAACAGTATAGTACTGGCATAAAATTAGAAAAAAATAGATCAATGTAATACAATAGAGCATGTGGTTCTCAACCTGTGGGTCGTGACCTCTTTCGGGGTCAAACAATCCTTTCACAGGGGTCACCTAAGACCATCAGGAAACACAGATATTTACATTAGGATTCATAACAGTCGAAAAATTACAGTTATGAAGTAGCAACGAAAATAATTTTATGGTTGGGGGTCACCACCACACAAGGAACTTTATTAAAGGGTCATGGTATTAGGAAGATTGATAACCACTGCAATAGAGTTCAGAAATAAATCAACACATGTATAGTCCAAGAATACACGATAGAGAAAAGATAGCTTCTTCAGCAAACTATATTGAGAAAACTGGATATTCACCCACCAAAGACTGAATATGGGCCTATATTTTACATTACACACAAAAATTTTACATCATTGCAAAAAATACAATCAAAGTGTATTTAAGACTTAAGCACAAGACTTGATCCCATAAAATTCCTAAAAGAAAACATTGGGTAAAAGCTTTTTTACATTGATCTTGACAGTAATTTTTTTAGAATTAACTCCAAAGCAGTGGTAACAACAGCAAAAATATACAAGTGTGTTACCTCAACCTAAAAACCCTCTGCACCACAGAGAAAACAATCAATAAAATAGAAAGGCAAACCTGTGGAATGAGAAAGAGTATTTGCAAAGACTATAACAAGTAAAGGATTAATTTCCAAAATATATAAGGAACCCCAATTCAGTAGTAAACTCAATAGCAAAAAGACTAATATTATTTTAAAATGTGTTAAAGATTTGAATAAACATTTCTCAAAGACACAGAAGTGGTCATGTGGTATATGAAAAGATGCTCAACATTACCAATCAAAACCACAATGAGATACCACCCCACACCTATTAGGACAAATACTAAAAAAACAAAAACAGCAAGTGGTAGGGAAGATGTGAGAAAGCTGGAACCCTTGTAAATTACTGGTGGGGGTGCAAAATGGTGTAGCTACTGTAGAACACAGTTTGGAGGTTCCTCAAAATTTAAAACTAGTCAGTCAGAGAAAGACAAATACCATGTGATTTCACTTATATGTAGAACCTAAAACAAAACAAACAGAAGCAGACTCATAGAAACAGAAACCAAAGGGATGGTTACCAGAAGGAGTCGGGAGGGGGTGGTTGAAATAAGGATGGGAATATAGCCAATAATCCTATATAATAAAAGCCTAATATGCAAATCGACCAAATGGCAGAACAACCAGTCACTATGATGTATACTAACCACCAGGGGGCAAACACTCAACACAGGAGCTGCCCCAGCCTGCAGGCCCCAGGCCAGCCAGGCAGGTGCCAGTGGGGGCCCCCAATATTCTGCCAGTCATCCCACAGATTGGCCCTCATCGTCAGCCAGGCCTAGTGACTCTACCCATGCATGAATTTTATGCATAAGGCTTCTAGTCTATATATATAAAAACCCTACAATGCAAAGTGTCCCCTCAGGAGTTCAACCAGAAGATTGGGAGTTTGATCGCTCTCTATGATGAATAGAAAATCCAAAAGTAGACCTACATATAAAGAGTCAACTGATTTTCATCAAAAGTGCCAATTCAACAGGAAAAAATAGTTAAATGTATTTTGGATATTCACATGGAAAAAATCAACATCAACAACTTACCTAACATCATTCACACAAAAATTAATTTAAAATAGATAACAAACTTTTAGAAGCTAGAACCATAAAAAATCTAGACGAAATGTAAGATTATATTTGCAACCTTTACATAAGTAAAGGTTTCCTTAAAAGCATAGACCAAAAAAAGGAAAATAATTGATAAACTGGGCTTTTCAAAATTAAAAGGTTATGTTCAATAAAAAAGATACTAGCAAAAAATGAATAGGCAAGAAACACATTTGAGGAAATATTCACAATACAAATATCTGACAAGGGAACTTTCAGAATATATGAATTGCAAATTAACAACAAAAAAGATACAAACCCAATATTTATACTTCACAGAGTAAATTATACGAAGAATTAATTTATACATGAAAATGTACTAAATATTCTTATTCTTAAGAAAATGAAAATTAGAGTAATAGATATTGTTTCACATTCTCTAGATCAGCTAAAATCCAAATACAATACTAAAATACTGGTATGGATATAGAGCAAATTGATTTCTCAAACATGCTGGTAGTTGTAAAATAATACAAGCACTTTAAAGACTCTTTTGCCGAATGTACACTTCATAATTGACCAAGTAACTACATTCCTATGTATTTTCACTCAAGATAAATTTTTATCCAACAGAAATTTTTACAAGCAAGTTTACAACATATTTCTTCATGATATTTGGAAATTATATAGAATTGACCTAAAACAACCTAAAAATCCATGAAGAGTAGACCGTGTGTTCTACTGATACATGCAGCAACAAAGATAAATCTCAAACTACTGTGCTGAGGTAAAGAAACCAGAAACCAGAAATCATTGTGTATGATTCATTTATGTTATCTTCAAGAACAGGCAAAATTAATGTATGGTAATAAAAATGAGAAAGCAATTGCTTTTGAGAAAGGGAATTGATGAAAAGAGGTTAAAGGGAACTTTCTGGAGTCATAGGAATACTCTGTATCTTGCTTTACTTGGAGTCAAATAGGCATATACAATTGTAAAAACTCATCAAACTGAGCAAGGAATATCTATTCATTGTACTCCACATAAATTACACTTCAATTAAAAATTTTTCCTCTCTAGAGGAGAAACAGATAATAAACAAGGTAAATTAATAAATTACATATTTTATTAAGCTAGTGCTTCAGGAAAAAATGGATAGAAATATGAAAAGTTGGAGATAAGGCACTAAAATTTTATTAAGGGGGGGGGGGCAAAGAAAACGGATATATAGATAATTTCAAATAATTACCTAAAAGAAGTAAGGAAGCTATTAAGACATATTTGGCAGTTTTATGTTTAGGAAAAAGTTTTCTCAAAATTAGAATAAAATATTCTGCACATACAGAAGCAATTTTATACTGATTTAAGCAAGGAGTAGATAACTTATTCCCTACATTTTTCATAGAATTCATGAATAGATTTATCTATTCACCATCCATCTACTGTCTACCACTTATCATCTATTTATTGATATAGCTATTTCATTAAAGGCCCAACTGCAGTTGGGAAAATTACAATTTAAATGGATGTCATATGAAAGAAATAAACATGAAATTTGGAAAATGCAATAGTTTAAAAAAATTTAAATATGACCATTATTTCAAAGGGCTCATAGTTGAACCCAATTAAAAGAATAGAGGGAATCACTGAAGTGATTGGTAGATATAAAAAAAAACACACAAAAATTACATTAAATAATATTATTAAGATATCAATATCCATAAAAGTTATGTTAGAATAATATTAAGTCATCAATATCAAAAGAATTATTAAAAAGAGAGAGACCATATATTTTTTTGAGGAAAAGTGGAGAACCACAGCATCGCAAGGATCCCTTCACCATGATGGCAATGCGGTCGCCCAGGATGTCAGCTTCATCCATGTAGTGGGTGGTCAGTAGGACTGTCCGGCCCTGCTTATACTGCTGGAGGAGGTCCCAGGTGGCCATTCGCGAGGTAGGGTCCATGCCAGCTGTGGGCTCATCAAGTATCACCACCTGGAGACCAGAAGAACAACTCCATGACTACGTTACACACGACGGATTGGTGCACTGGGTTCTTTCCAGTCACTTGTCAAACTGAGCTAAGATGATGAGCTTAGACTGAGACTGACTTAGCAATGTTGGACTGATTCCAAACCTATGGCCACTTTATTCCAACAAGGTTGACAGGCAAGCACATCGGGGATTTGGGAGGCTACTCTAGAGTTAGATACTACATATCAGTCCATGGGTTTGTGTCAGCTTTAGCCCTGCTTCCGTGGGGGTCCATTTCTAGCTTTTACTTTGCTTTTACCTTGGAGTCCCCTATGAGTGCTATACTGATGGAGAGTTTGCGCTTCATCCCTCCACTCAGTGACACTGAAAATGTATTTCGCTTTTCCTCAAGGTTTAAAGCAGACAGCATAGGGTCAATTTCCTTAGCGTGCATCTTTCGAGGGATTCCTTTCATCTAGAAAAAGAAGGCAGACTTTATATGGTGCTTCCAACTTCATCATCAGAAACATGTTTCACCAGTTCTTTTCTTAGACTAGGGGTGTCGAACTCAATGAGAGAAGGGGCCAAAATCTAAAATCCAGCCTAAATCGCGGGCCGAATGGTTTACTGAACAGTCATAAACTGTCATTGTGATGGAAACGCAGCGGAGTGCAGTGATGACAGCGCGGTGCGGGCCACATTGCAAGGCCTGGCGGGACGGATTTGGCCCGCGGGCCTTGTGTTTGACACATGTGTCTTAGACCATCTACAGTGTTTTCTTCCCTTTGCCTCTCTCTATGTTTAAAGAAGAATTCACCAAAAGTAAATTTTTTAACTTTCTAAGAATAAGAATATTGATAGTAGGTACTCTATGTTACGTACAGGAATAGAGTGGAAATAAAGCAACATGTGTTTGGTTACCACGCAATAGAAATGAAGGTGTTCTGCTACTGTCAAGTAGTTAAACAACAAGTCCTGCTGGGGACACAGGCCCAAGCTCTCCCTGATCTGGACCATGTGCTTCGAGATGGAATATCCATTAACATAGGCCTCTCCACTGGTAGCAGGATAAAGACCTAGAATCAAGCAGAAGACACACAGAAGCTTAGCTTTCATGAGGGAACAGAACAACAAACTGTTCATTCATATATGAACTTCAAAATATACTTGTAGATTACTCAATGGAATCAGTAATATCTCAGTACCACACAGTTGTTCGAATGGCTATTATCAATAAGACAAGAAATATCGATAAGTGTTGGAGAGGATATGAAGAAAAGAGAACCTTTGTACACTGCTGGTGGGTATAGTCACTCTGAAAAAACAGTATGAAGCTTTCTAAAAATATTAAGAATAGAGCTAACAGCCAAAACCGGTTTGGCTCAGTGGATAGAGCGTCAGTCTGCAGACTGAAAGATCCCAGGTTTGATTCCGGTCAAGGACATGTACATTGGTCAAGGGCAGCTGGTCGATGTTTCTCTCTCATCAATGTTTCTAGCTCTCTATCCTTCTCCCTTCCTCTATATAAAAAATTCAATAAAATATATATATTTTTTTTAAAGAATAGAGCCACCATATGACCCAGCAAGATTTTTACCAAGTATCTACCTGACAATTTTGAAAATAATTATTCATAAATAGAGATACATATGTTTGTTGTAGCATTATTTACAATAGACAACACATGGAAACAACTCAAGAGATCTTCAGTGTTTGATTAAGGAAGACATGATACATATCCTATCTAATAAAGAAGGAATATGCAAATTGACCATCACTCCATCACAAAGATGGTGGAGCCCATGGCCACAAGATGGTGGCGCCCAGTCCTCTCAGCCCCACCAGAGTTCCCCAGCACCTGGGAGAGGGGCAGCCGCTGACAGTGGACAGTGTGAGATGCCTGGTGGAATGCTTGCTTCATCGCTGTGGTGACAAGGCAAGCATTCCACCCCAGCCATGGAGGGCCTTTGGAAAGCAGGCACAGAGCAACTGGGGTAGAGGGTGAAATGGTGTGTCATTGCCATGGTGATGAGGCAAGTTTTCCACACCTGGGTGTATGGGCCTCTGGCCAGGAGGGCAGTTGTGGGCCATGAGGCCAGCGGGGAAGGGCATTTGAAGGTGAGCAGGCCGACACACAGAGTGGTTAGGGGCAATTGGGCAGGCAGGCAGCTGAGCAGTTAGGAGTCAGTGGCCCCGGATTGTGAAAGGGATGTCGACTGCTGGCTTAGGATCAATCCCACAGGGATATCCCCCAGCAGTTGGACATCCCCGGAGGGGTCCCAGATTGGAGAGGGTACAGGCTGGACAGAGGGACACCCTCCCCGCTGTGCACAAATTTCATGCACCAGGCCACTAGTATATAAATAAAAATACCCTGTTTCCCCCAAAATAAGACAGTGTCTTATACTAATTTTTTTCCCCAAAGATGAGCTAGATCTTATTTTCAGGGGATGTCTTATTTTTCCATGTGCTAGGTCTTATTTTCGAAGGATGTCTTCCTTTTGGGGAAACACGGTATGTAACACAAATAGTGGTTGATTTGGGTGACACTGGTTGCCAGAGGGAAGGGGATAAAGGAAGAAGGGGGTCCTAATATAAGGTGACAGGAGAAGATTTGATTCTGGGTGGTAGGCACACAGAGCAATATATACAGGTCTTGTAATATCAAAACCCATACATGAAGCCCATATGTTCATGTTCAAATATCACTCCAATCAACTTAATAAGTAAAATAAAAACAGGAAATATTACCATTTGCCACAACATAGATAGACCTAGAGAATTTTGTGCTAGGTGAAGTAAATCAGATAGAAACTTTATTATTTCAGTTATATGAAGGACATAAAACAAAAAGCAACAAACAAATGCATAGATACTGACAATAAAATGATGGTTACCAGAGGGGAAGGGGAGAGAGGAAAGGATGGAGAGGGTAAAAGAAATAAATACAAGATGATGGCAGGGGACTAGACTATAGGTGGTGAGCATACATCAGAGTATACAGGTGTATTATAAAGCTGTATACCTGAAATTTGTTATTAAACAATATTTAATAAAAAATAAACTACTATTGAAGACTGGGTTTAAAAAATAAAAAAATAAACTACTATTGAAGACTGGGTTTAAAAAAAATTGAGGCTTTTGTGGTACGTTTAAGAGAGGCATTTTGTTTTCATGTTTTTAAGTTTTTATTTGAAAAAAAACTACAGAAAAGTTGCAAGAACAGTATAATAAATTCTCTTATGTGATCCACTTTAAAAACTAATTAGGAATACCTCAAACAAAGGAAAATGCTAGAAAACATAAATTGTTACCTTTGAAGAGATTAGAAAGATTTTTTTTATTTCATTAACTATATGTTCTAATTTTCTTTTCAAAAGAAATATTTATTGTTGAGAGTATTACAAATATATCACCCCCCCCCCCCCATTTACACCTCCATAGGGTTCCCACTCCACCCCAGCTCTTCACCACCCTATTATCTGTGTCCATAGGTAATGCATATATACATACAAGTCTTTGGGTAATCTCAACCCCCAGTTCTATTTTACTCATCAGTTTATTTTTGTTCATTAGATTCCCTGTTTATTTTTAATTTTTAGATTAAATTGTTGATAGATAAGTATTTATAGTCATGTTATTGTTCATATTTTTTAATCTTCCTCTTCTTAAAGAATAGTCTTCAGCATTTCATGTAATACTGGTTTGGTGGTGATGACTCCTTTACCTTTTCCTTGTCTGTGAAGCTCTTTATTTGATCTTCAATTCTAAATGATAGCTTTTCTGTGTAGAGTAATATTTGTTGTAGATCTTGCTATTCAGCATTTTGAATATTTCTTGCTACTCCTTTCTGGCTTGCAAAGTTCCTGTTGAGAAATCAGCTGGCAGTCATAAGAGTGCTCCCTTGAAGGTAACTAACTGCTTTTCTCTGTGGCTTTTATGATTCTTTCTTTGTCTTTACCTCTTGGCCTTTTAATTATGATGTGTATTGGTATGCTTCTTTTTGGGTTTCTCTTGTTTGGGACTTTCTGTGCTCCCTGGACTTGTAAGTCTATTTCTTTCACGAGGTAGGGTAGGTTTTCTTTTTTCTTTAATTTCTTTTCTTTTCTTTCCTTTTCTTTTCTTTTCTTTTCTTTCCTTTTCTTTTCTTTTCTTTTCTTTTCTTTTCTTTTCTTCTTTCATTCTCTCCCTCTCTCTCTCTCTCTCTCTCTCTCTCTCTCTCTCTCTCTCTCTCTCTCTCTCTCTTTCTTTCTTTGTCTAATGTTTTACATAAGTCTTCTTTTCCCCCAGTAAACCCTCCCCTCCATGCCCCTAGCCATTCCCACCCAAGACAAGTCCCAACTTCCCCAGGGTCTGTGTCCATTGGTTCTGCTAATATGTATGCATATAAGGACTTTGGTTGCTTTCTATCCCACCCCCCCCCCCCCCCCACCCACACACACACCTGAGGTAGGGGAAGTTTTCTGTCATTATTTCTTCAAATAAGTTTTCAATATCTTTCTCTCTTCTCCTTTTGGTACCCCCATAATGCAAATATTGGTACTGTTGATGTTTCTCAGAAGCTCCTTACACTATATTTTATTTTATTTTAGTTTATTTTAGTTTAGTTTAGTTTAGTTTAGTTTAAAGTATTACAAATAGTAGTACAAATAGTAGTCTCTTTTTTTCCCCATTGACCTCCCCCTAGCTTCCCATACCCCTGGCCTTACCTGCCCCCAGTGTCTTCTGTCCATTGGTTATGCTTATATGCATGCATATGTGTCATTTAGTTGATCTCTTATCTCCCTACCAACTTTTCCCTGCCTCTGCACTGTAGTATGACAGTATGTTTGTTGTTTCTTTGTCTCTGTATCTTATTTGTTCATCAGTTTATAATGTTCTTTATATTCTATAAATGAATGAGATCATTTGTTTTTTATCTTTCACCGACTGGCTTAATTTGCTTAGCATAATGCTTTCCAGTTACATTTATGCTGTTGCAAATGGTAAGAGCTCCTTCTTTTTTATAGCAGCGCAGTATTCCACTGTGTAGATGTACCACAGTTTTCTCATCCACTCATCATCTGACTGCCATTTAGGCTGTTTCAAAATCCTGGCTATTGTAAACTGTACAGGGGTGCATATATTATTTATGATTGGTTGTTCTGGGTTCCTGGGATATATTCCTAGAAGTGGGATCACTGGGTCAAATGGCAGTTACATTGTTAAATTTTTGAGGAAACTCCGTACTGTTCTCCACAGTGGCTGCACCAATCTGCATTCCCACCAGCAGTGCATGAGGATTCCTTTTTCTCCACATCTTCACCAGCACTTTCCATTTGTTGATTTGTTGATGGTAGCCATTCTGACAGGTGTGAAATAGTATCTCACTGCCATTTTGATTTATATCTATTGGATGATTAGTGACTTTGAGCGTGTTTTTATGTCTCTTGGCCTTCTGTATGTCAAAAAGTGTCTATTTTGTCCTTTGCCAATTTTTTTATGGGATTGTTTACCTTTTTTTGTTAAGATATATGAGTTCCCTATAAATTATAAAGATTAGGCCCTTATTGTATATAAAATTGGCAAATATGTTCTCCATGCAGTGGATTTTGTTGTTTTGTTGATGGTTTCTTTGGCTGTACAGAGCTTTTTATTTTTATGTAGTCCCATTTGTTTATTATTTATTTAGTTTGCATTGCCCAGGAGCTGTATCAGTAAAGATATTGCTATAAGAGATGTCTGATATTTTGCTGCCTATGGATTCTTCTAGGACTTTTATGGTTTCATATCTTACATTTAAGTCTTTTATCCATTTTGAGTTTATTTCTGTGTATGGTATAAGTTGGTGGTCTAGTTTCTTTTTTTTGTGTGCATATTCTGTCCAATATTCCCAACACCATTTATTGAAGAGACTATCTTGACTCCATTGTATTTTCTTGCCTCCTTTGTCAAATATTAATTGAGCATAATGGCTTGTGTAAATTTCTAGATTCTCTGTTCTGTTCCACTGGTCAATGTGTCTGTTCATGTGATTATTTTTTTTATTCCATTTGAATTTTAGAGAGTTTGTTTCACCTCTGTGAAATATGCCATT